AATTGGTTTTCTTAAAAAGTTTGTATACATTGTTTTTCACATTATTTCCCATTCATATTGTTTTTCTTTTTTTTTTTCATATTGTTTTTCATACAACCATTCTCATGCAGTGTGTTTTACAAAATTAATCACCATGGACCTTGCCCATAATTATTCTGTTTTTTTTCACTTGAATCCTTCCCATTTCTTTCCCTCTCTCCCTCCCTCCCTGCACCCCTCAAACTGTGCATCCCTGTGGTTTCGCCCCTACCTACCCTCTACCCCCTGCTCCTACCCCTTTCCCCTCTTGCATTCCAATTGCTTTAAAAATGTTTTGTGACTTTCTATTTTTATATAATGTGTTATAAACATCATTCCATGGATTTGCATACTTTCCTAATGCATCTTTTGATTGTTGTTATTGTTGTTGTTGTTATGTGGCATTGAGTTGCTTGTGACTCATAGCACCCCTATGTACAACAGTTCTGAAACCTGCTCTATCCTGTGCCAACTTTACTGTTTCTGACCTACCTACCCTCATTACCCCAGTCAATGAATCGATCCATCTCATCAATAGCCTTTCTCCACCCTTCCAAGCATGATGTCCCTCTCCAAGAACTGGTTCCTCCTTGCAACATGCAAAAAGTATGTCAGACGAAGCCTCAGAATCCTTACTTCCAAAGAGCATCCTGGTTTCACCCTTTCTAGGTTGAACCTGTTTATTCTTCTGACAGTTCATGTTATATTTAATACTCGTCTCAAGCACCACAGCTCAAAGGCATCAATTCTCTTTCTACCATTTCTAGTCATTGTCCAGATCTCTGAGGCATAGCAAGCAATTGCAAAGATTATGATCTGTATCAGACACACCTTAGTCTCCAGACTGACATTGCTGCTCTTCAGTACTCTGTAGAGGTCCTTGACAGCCAACTTCCCAATGCAATTTGTCTATTGATTTCTTGGTTGCTGGTACCAAGAGAATGTTGATTGTAGAGTAAAACAAACTAAGCTATTAACAATCTCAATATCTTCACCATCTGTCATAATGCAGCCAATTGGCCCCATGGTGAGAAACTTTGTTTTGTTGATGTTGAACTTCAGTCCATATTGAAAACTGTAGTCCTTGACCTTCTACAGCAAGTGCTTCGGGTCCTCTTCAGTTTCAGCTAGCAGGATTGTGATATCTACATAATTTAGGTTGTTGATGAGTCTTCCTCCAATCCTGATGCCACATTCTTCCTCATAGAGTCCAGCTTCCTGGATGATCTGTTCTGCATATAGATCATAAAGGTATAGAGACAAGATACATCCCTGGTGTACACCCTTTCCTATTTTGAACCATGCAGTGTCTCCTTGCTCTGTTTTGATGACTGCCTCCTAGTCAATCAAATGTCCTGGGATTCCCATTCTTCTCAGAGTCAGCCACAGTTTGTTGTGATCCACACAGTCAAATGCACTTGCATAGTGAATAAAACAAAGACAGACATTCCTTTGGTACTCTCTACTTTCAGCCAAGATCCAGCTAACAATAGGTATAATATCCCTAGTACCACAGCCTCTATCTGGCAGTTCTCTGTTGATGTACTGCTCCAGTTGTCTGAGGATAATTTTCAGCACAATCTTGCTTGAATGTGATATTAATTATATTGTTCAATAATTTATGTACCCTCTTGGGTCACCTTTCTTTGGAATGGGAACAAATATAGATGTTGATGTTATGTGCTGTCGAGTCGCTTGCGACTCATAGTGACCCTATGTACAACAGCTCTAAATTCTGCTCCGTCCTGTGCCAATTGCACTGTCTCTGACACACCCATCCCAATTACCCCAGTCACTGAATCAATCCAGCTCATAGAGGGCCTTCCTCTCCTGCACTGTCCCTCCACCTTCCTAAGCATGGTGTCCCTCTCCAAGGACCGGTCCCTCCTTACAACATGTCCAAAGTATGTTAGATGGACCCTCAGAATCCTTGCCTCCAAGGAGCAGCCTGATTTAACCCTCTCCAGGATGAATCTGTTTTTTTCCCTAGCAGTCCATGGTACCCTCAATACTCTTCTCCAGCATCATATCTCAAAGGCATCAATTCTCCTTCTATCCTCCTTAGTCATTGTCCACCTCTCTGATGCATAACAAGTGATTGTGAAGACCATGGCCTGTATCAGACGCACCTTAGTCTCCAGAGAGACGCCATTGCTCTTAAGTACTTTGGAGAGGTCCCTAACAGCAGACTTTCCCATTGCAATACGTCTTTTAATTTCCTGGCTACTGGTGCCAAGAGTGTTAACGGTGGAGCCAAACAAACTAAAGCTGTGAACAATCTCAATCTCTTCACCATCCATCCTGATGCTGCCAATTGGTCCAGTGGTGAGAATCTTTGTCTTCTTGATATTTAGCCTCAATCCATATTGAATTGGAAGGAGTAATCACATCCACTTCCGTAATAGCTTGCCTCCGAAAATCCTATGAACTTGGAGAGAGGATGAAAGACACCAAAGCATTGAGGACTCTCCTTCATAGGTTCGCTATGAGTCACCTGCGACTCTAAGGCACTTAACAACAACAGCAACCACATTGAAGGCTGCAGTCCTTGACCCTCTGCAGCAAGTGCTTCAGGTCCTTCTCAGTTTCAGCAAGTAGAGTTGTGTCATCTGCATAATGCAGATTGTTGATAGATCTTCCACCAATACTGATACCACATTTCTCCTCATAGAGCCCAGCCTCCAGGATCATCTGTTCTGCATATAAGGTGAAAAGGTATGGAGACAGGACACATCCCTGACGTATGCCCTTCACAATTTTGAACAATGCAGTGTTTCCCTGCTCTGTTCTGATGACTGCCTCTTGGTCTAAGTATAGGTTTCACATCAGCATGGATCAAGTGTTCTAGAATTCCCATTCTTCTCAGAGTCAGCCACAGTTTGCTATGGTCCACACAATCAAATGCCTTTGCATAGTCAGTTAAACACAGATATACATTCCTCTGGTATCCCATGCTTTCAGCTAAGATCCATCTAACATTAGCTACAATATCCCTAGTACCACAACCCCTTCTAAACCTAGCTTGGACTTCTGGCAGTTCTCTGCTAATGTGTTGTCCCAGTTGTTTTTGGATAATCTTCAGTAGATTCTTGCTTGCATGTGAAATCAATGATATTGTTCTATAGTTTCCACACTCTGTTGGATCATACTTTGGGATGGGAACAAATATAGATCTCTTCCAGTCAGTTGGCCAAGTGGTGCAAATATAGATAGCTGAACTAAATATTCTGCTTTTTATTCTTAATTTTTAAAATTAGTTCCCTTAGATGATTTATGCTTTTGGAAGATTAAACAATGCAAAGGTGAAGATTACTCTATATAAATCCAGATTCATTACAATTATTATCTCTTTAAATAAATTCTTAGAATTATATATTGTTGTTGTTAGGTGCTGTTGAGTCGTAAACGACTCACAGTGACCCTATGAACAAAAGGCCTGAACATTGTTCATACGTAGAGTTTCTGGAGGCAAGCCATTTCGGAAGTGGATGCTGCTCCTACTTCCAGGCTTGTTTTAGTCAGGAAGCTCCAGCAAACACTGTCCACCATGTGTAACCATTACCACATTTGGCACATCAGTGTTCCAGTGTTCAGCATCACAGCAACCACGAGTTACCTCTGTACAGCAATGCACAGACCACTGCTATACCACCTAGAAGAATGTTTGACAGGAAAACAATTTGAACCCAGCCTGAGGGCCGCAGATTAAAATCACTCACCTTTGGCTTGGTATAATTATATAGTTGAAGGATATGTATGTTTTAAAGACTTTGTTTTTTGGTTTGGGATACTTTTTGACCTGTTCAACTGTGATCAAAAACGGTGATTGCAAATTGATATTACTGGTGCACAGCTATCCCAAAGATGGTGGTTCAAAGTCCCTAGCTGTTCTGCAGGAGAAAGATGAGTAATTTCCTACTGAGTCATTTACAGACTTTGAAATTCTAGTGGAGAGTCAGGTATGAGTCAGTTTCTACTTGGTAGCATGTAACAAACAACAAACTATGTAGGAAAATCTAATTCATAGTTAACCATCTGGTGGGGTTTCCCAGGCTGTAAATTGAATGGAAAGGAATTGTGCATCTTTGAATTGGGTTCTAATTGCCAGAGAAGTACCTTTGGTTTAACAGGGTAATTCCCCATGTACTGCATGAAGTCTATGTGACATTGTCTATTTTTCATACTGTCAGCCAGGTCACAAATTCTGTCTTTCTCTGTAAATACTAGTAGTTTGTTCTCATTATAACTTAACACATGCTTCTATGTATGTATATATGTGAATGGTTGTGCAGATATGTTATATATGTTGTTGCTAGGTGCCAGTCAGCCAGTCACTTTTGATTGTTGTTGTTAAGTGTTGTAGAGTTGTAGATGACCTATAGTGACCCTATGAATGTCTTGAGCACAAAACTTTCATCTTCTCTCCAAGTTCAAAGAGTTTCTGGAAGCAAGGTTTTGTGTTTTTGGTTTTTTGGGTTTTTTTGAAAGTGGATGCCACTCCTGCTTCCAAGTCTGTTGTATTCGGGAGAGTCACAAAAACCAAAAAAAAAATTTGCAGAATCAGCTGTTCCCCTCAGCTTTCCAGCCTGGAAATAGCCCCAGACTGGCAGTCAAAAGCCTTTTTAAATATGAGTCCAAATCCAATCAGTTAACACCCTGTTGTGAGCAAAGCCACACCCTAGTCTCAACTCCAAACCAGAAAACACACCTTTGCAGAATCTGGCTGTTCCCTTCATCTTCCCAGCCTGGAAATAGTGACCCTCATTTGTGCCATCTTCACAATCAGTATGCCCGTTGTTGCAGTTCCTATGTCAATCCATTGTGTTAAAGAGCTCCTTCTGTTTTACTGACCCTCTATTTTCAATATTACTTCAAAAATATATTTTATCCAGTAACATGTATGTTAATCTGTCATATAGTAAGTTAGTTACCTTAAAATTCCAAGGTATCTGCTCCTAAATCTAATTGTCTTGACTTCTCAGGTGCCTGCATGAATATCACCCACAGCCAGTGTCAGATGCTGCCCTACCACACCACGCAAACACCTTTCTTCTCAATTGTCAAAAATATGGAAATGGAGAAGTTCCTCAAGTTCTTCATGTACCTCCATCGCCTCAGTTGCTATCAACATATCATGCTTTTTGGCTGTAGCCTGGCGTTTCCTGAGTGCATCAGTGATGGCGATGACAGGTATTTTGGAACCCAAATCACTTGGTGATAAGAGTGAGATGGAGCAGAAGTGTCTGAGAGGAATAAAATGATCCCCAGCTACCACCTTTCTTTTCTGATGGTATTAAGTGAGAAAAACCACACACATCAGTCAAAGCGTGTGTGATTCTTTTAAATAAAAGATTTTTTTAAAATCCTGAATAGTTTTATTTGTGGGGATAATTTGGTCAGTAAAAATAAATCAATCAGTTGGGATACTCAATAGCTGTTCCAGGAAAGGTATGATAGAAAAAGACCACACACATAATCAAGTGACTGAAAAAGAGTTTCATGAGGAGACTTATGGAGATATGGTCAGAGTTAAAGGACAAATGAGATATACATGAAGGCTCCAGGGAATAGCAGTGGGTGATGCTGTTCTACACCAGGGTTAAGGGGGAAAGGATGCGTGGTTTCTGGAAAGAATTGGAGCTCTGGCATGAGTATCCCCACAGGTACTGTGAGCCTAGGCAAAGGAGCTTAGCCTTTGCAACTCTACAGCCCTGTGTCCTGTGGGGAGACAGAACACCACAAATTCAAATTCACTGTGGTCCACTCAATTTTAATTCATCGTCATCCTATAAGATGGAATTGAATTGCTCCATAAGGTTTTGAAGGCTGTAAATCTTTATGGAGAAGGCAGCCTCATTTTTCTCCTGTAGTATGGTTTATGTGTTCAGATTGCCTACTATGAGGTTAATAGCCAAATATTTTAAGCACTAGATCACCCGGGCTCCCTGGAGGTAGGAGATTTCAAAGCCTGCTACCACTGAGCCATATCCAATGACTCATAGCAATCCTTCATCAGAGAGAGAGGAATAAACACATACTTAGACTTCATACGCTTTCTGCCTGTTTATCTGCTTGGGTGCTCCCTTCAACTCATTTTACCCACAATCAGAGGGCAGGGGACCCCAAATGATATGATCTTCTAGTCAACATTCAGATCCAGCCTAGGGTGAGGGAGATGAAGAACAACTGCAGAGAGACAAACGGACTGTTTCCTGGGAAATATCAAATAAGATTGGAGATCATTATTGTTGTTGTTGTTGTTACGTGCCATCGAGTCGCCTGCGACTCATAGCGACCCTATGTACAACAGCCCTAAACTCCTCTCTGTCCTGTGCCAATCGCACTCTCTCTGACACTCCCATCCCAATTATCCCAGTCACTGAATCAATCCACCTCATAGAGGGCCTTCCTCTCCTGCGCCGTCCCTCCACCCTCCCAAGCATGATGTCCCTCTCCAAGGACCGGTCTCTCCTCACTACATGTCCAAAGTAAGTTAGACGGAGCCTCAGAATCCTTGCCTCCAAGGAGCCACCCGGCTTAACCCTCTCCAGGACAAATCTGTTTGTTTTCCTAGCAGTCCATGGTATTCTCAATACTCTTCTCCAGCACCACAACTCAAAGGCATCAATTCTCCTTCTATCCTCCTTGGTCATTGTCAGTAAGGAAAAGAAAGTATAATGTTGAGATTCTTGTTGTTGTGTATTTTCAAGTTGCAACCAACCATAGCTGACCCTTCAGTGGGTTTTCAGAGGCAGTAAACACATGAGAGTTGATTGGCTGTCTTTCTCCCATGGAACATCTGGTTGATTTGAACCACGTACGTTTGCATTGGCAGTGTTATTTCTAGTGGCAGCACTAAGCCACTAGAGGCCCCAAGGTCTCTTAGTATCTTAAATATTGCTTAAATATCTTAGATATTAGATATCCCCAAGTATCTACATATCTTAGTATCTGAGATACTAAGAATATACATTTCACTTCAAAGCATATGGCATAGTGGTAAGAAACTGCACTGCAATCTTGAAGGCGCATAGTTTGAATCCACCAGCTGCTTTGCAGAAGGATGGGCAGTCTCCTCCTGCATAATTAATAGCTTCTGAAAACCCACTGAAGGATCAACTGTGAGTCAGTTCCAACTTGATGGTACTCAACAACAACAGCAACAGCAACACATATCAGTTCTGGTTTCTTAAAAAGATCATTTGCTGTCAAGTCAATTTTGACCCATGGCAATTTCCTATGTGTCAGAGTAGAACATTGCTCAATAGGATTTTCAGTGACTGATTTTCTGGAAATAGGTCAACAGGCCTTCCTTCTGAGGTGTTTCTGGGTGAACTCCCATGGTCAAACTTGTGGTTAACAATTAAATTCTTAATTGTACCACACAGAGATATGTGTTCAAGTAGTATACGAATTATTTTCTGAAGGGGTATATTAGGAAGCTTTCAGAACAGTTAATAGTTTGAATGAGACACATTTTCAAGTGTAAACAGATTCCATGCTATTTGTACATATTTCATTAGTGTGGAAAATATGCTCTGAACAGAGCAAATACATTTAATTATACTCCCTGGAAGCAGCGCCTTCATTGTCACAACTGCCAGGTCGAATAAAAACAGTGAGATCTAAATTGCAGTGGTAATAAAGAAGTATCTCAACTGACACAGCATTCACTAAAATACTTTGTCAGAAAAAAAATGAATTGCAGCAGATGTTTTCACAGTAATAAGAGACACTGTTAGACTTGCCCCATAAATTAAATTATGAATTGAAATAAATGTGTCCTTTATGTTCCTTGAAGTGCAATAGTATGGTGTGGTGGTTCTGTCAGTTCCTTTCCACTGCAGTAACAAATTGGCACAAATTGGGTGTTTTCAATCAATGGATTTTCCTTTTGTCCTTCAGAGTTCTGGGGTCAGAAGACTCATGCTGGTAGAACTCCTCAGGAACTCTACTGGAAAATGCATTTCCTTCCTCTCCTCACTGATGGTGGCTCCAGACATATCTTGTTGATACATCCTCCTAATAAGATCTGCCTCACTCTCAGATTGTCTTCTCCTCTTCTGACTCTATAAGGATACTTGCCACTGTATTTAGGATCTAGTTGGATAAACTGGGTTGATTTCTTCTCCACAAAATCCTTGTTTTTGTTATGTGCAGAGAAGTCTCTTTTGACTCATATTGATCCTATGTACAACAGCCCTGAACTCTGCTCTATCTTGAGCCGATTTTGTTGTCTCTGACATATACACCCCCATTACTCCAGGGACTGAGTCGATTCATCTCATCCAGGGTCTTTCTTTCTTGTGCTCTCCCTCCACCCTTCCAAGCCTGATGTCCTTCTCCAAGGATTGGTCCTTTCTGGCAACATGCCCAAAATATGTGAAATGGAGATTAAAAATCCTTGCCTCCAAGGAGCATCTTGGTTTCACCCTCTCCAGGGTACTGTAAAGTTGACTAAGAATCACAGTGATCCTATGAATAAAAGATATGAACCTGGTCCTGTCCTGCACGATGCTTATGATCTCTGTCATGCTAAAGCCTGTTGTAATAGTCATATTAGTCCTTCTTGTTGAAGGCCTTCCTCCATTTCCCTGAGCCTCTACTTTTCCCAGTATGATAGTTCTTGCTAAGAAGTAGTTCCTCCTGAAAATATCCCCAAAATAAATGAGATGGAATTTCCCCATCCTTGCCTTTAAGGAGCCTTGTGTTTACCTTCAAGGCAGATATGTTTGTTCTTTCCTATCTATGGGATATTCAGTACTTTGTGTCAACATCACAATTCAAAGGCTTTGATTCTTCTCTGGTCATCCTTATTCATTGTCTAACTTTCATTTTGCATAGGAAGCAATTGGACATTTTGTGGTTTGGATCAGGAGCACTTTAATCTTTAAGCTGATCTTTGGTATTGATTGTGGATTGAAGTAAATGGAAATCTTTGGCAAGTTCCATCTTTTCTCTATCTATAATGATGTCATGTTGTCTCTTGGTCAAGAGGTGATGAGTTTTGCTGTCTTGATGTTGAGAGGTAACCCATGTTGAAGGCTATAGTCTTTGTTCTGGGAGCACTGGTGGCCTAGTGGCAAGAAGCTGCATTGCAATCTCAAAGGCACATGGTTTGAATACAACGGCTGCTCCATGGTAGAAGAATGGGCAGTCTCCTCCTGTGCAATTAACTGCCTCTGAAAACCTGCGGCAGGGTCATATATGTGTTGGTTCTGGCTCTACAGTACACAACAACAGTCTTTGATCTTCTGAAGCAAATGCTTTAATTCTTATTTATTTTCTGCAAACAAGATTGTGTGATCTGAATAACACAAATTGTTGATTAATATTCCTCCATTCCTGATGCCACATTCTTCCTTATATAGTACGGTTTCTCAAATGGTTTGCTCAACATACTGATTGAATAGGCATGGAGAAAGTATACAAGTCTGACACATATTTTTCTTTATTTTAAACCATGCATTGTTCCTTTGCTCTGTTCAGTTAATGGCTGTTTGGTCTATGCATATGTTTTGTATGAGCACAATTAAGTGTTCCGGGATTCCCATTCTTCTCAATGTAAGCCATAATTTGTTATGATCCACACAGCTAAATGCATTTGTATAAACAATAAAAATACAAGCAAATATATATCTAGTATTCTCTGCTATTTGTAAAGGTCCATCTAACTAACATGAATAGCAATATTCCTTGTGTGATGACCTCTTCTGAAACCAGCTTTAAAAAAACCCCTTGGCTGCATCTGAAAAGATATCAATTCCCATCTACGCTCCCTAGTCATGGTCCAGCTCTCTGACACATAGCAAGTGATTGTAAAGACCATGGCCTGTATCAGGGCCAGAGTGACACCATTGCTCCTCAGTACTTTGGAGTGGTCCCTAACAGCAGACTTTCCCATCATCATGTCTATTTTCATTTCCTGGGCTGCTGGTGCCAAGAGTGTTGACTATGGAGCCAAGCAAACTAAAGCTGTTAACAATCAATCTCTTCACCATCCATCCTGATGCTGCTGCCAGTTGGCCAAGTGATGAGAATCTTTGTCTTCTTGATATTGAGCCTCTACATTGAAGGCTGCAGTCCTTGACCTTCTGCAGCAAATGCTTCGGGTCCTCCTCAGTTTCAGCAAGCAGGGTTGTGTCATCTGCATAACACGGTTGTTGATGAATCTTCCTCAAATCCTGATG